AGGCAAAGTACGTTTCATAGGTGCTTCACTTTGTTCAGAATAACAGAAATTTCAGAGGATATCTATGCTCTTCCTACTACCTACATTTGAGAACTAGCTAAATCCAGTCTTACCACCAGCCAGAGATAAAATTTATGGGTTCGTAACATGTCATCTTCCCTATACTAAGAATCTGCACATAAAAACACACACACATGCTTCTGCCACAAAGCCTGCAGAGTCAAGCTAGCTTCAGCTTCAGGTCTCCTTCAAAGATGGGAACTAACTCAGAACAAATCTACAAGAGCAAGTATCATGCATTTTCCTTCCATGCACCACTTCTGGCAAATTCACATCTACAGCATCCCATGAAAACATATGCACGCTTGAGGACTGTAATTTTAAGTCAAAATCCACAAAATGGATGCAGCACCTTGCACAGACCAGCAAAATTTCAAGGTACCACATAACTTAACAATTTCCACATGCTGTCTTGATGAAACCTTTGCTGTGGATTTCCCCCAAAAAGCAGTATCTGTCAAGATATTGAGCTCCTACCTAGAGGAAAGTATACAATACAACTCTAGGATCCTTCCTTCCCATCCTAATTTTCTTCTGTTTCCTTTTAAACATGTTACCCAGCATCTAATAATCTCACTAATCAGCTGCAATATTAACAAAATTCACACTAAGTACAAGACCAAAATGCAGCAAGTATACTGTTTTATGAGTTGGAGCTATTCTGCCAATATACATTCATCTCCTCTGACAGGCTAATAGACAAAAGCAGGGCATCAAGAAAACTCCAAGTTATATTAGCAATAACACTACAGGATGCTACAATTTATAAAGGACTTGACTTCTTGGAACATGCTTAATGGACAACCACTAAAAAAAAAATCTGCTTGCACAAATAGCCTTGGTACCTCCGGAATAAACTGAAATGTACATCTAGAAGCACTGATAAAAATATGCTGGAATATATCTTAACAAAGAACATTCAGCAATATAATCAGAAAGCAATGCACAGGCAAATGAAACTTTCACAAGTTCTGAGTCTAAAAGAAAAAACAAACTGAGGCCATGGTGACTTTAAGAGATGGCAAGATAAAAGTATAAGTTTTAATAAATGAACTTACAGTAAACCTGATCAGAGCCTAATCAGAAAAAAAAATTGTGCCAACAAACAGTTTTGACAAAAACTCCTTGAAAGCAAAAACAGCTTTTGCTAACTAAAACCAAAAATTCTCATCATTTAACTGATGTCAAGAAAGGATCATGCATACACAGAACAGTGCAACAGCATGTCAATCACTTCTGAATGTCATACATCCTCAAAATACTGGAGTTGTTTACTGATTTCACCCTAGCTCTTTCAGACATAAAAGCAACAAGAAGAATCTTTAATGATATCTAGTAACAATCTAGCAAACCTAGAGCTAATTTATCAAGACTACAAAGAACATGAATTTCCAAAAAACATACCAAGGATGTAGAAGATTCTGTGGGTAGAAACAAAACCATAATAGCAAAGCTCTCATTTTATTCTTGTCACAGCAACTCAGAAGAGTGTTTGAGCACTTCTGCATTATTAGAAGTTTAAACATGTTGTTACACAAGTGAAGGAGACAGGACACTGGCATGAAAAAAAATTAGAAGGTCCAAAACCTCTTGAAATTTATTCCTTCTGTACTTAAGCATGAGATTTCCCGGTAAGACACTCTATTCCTGAGATTCTCAGGCAGCTTACATTTCTACACTCAAATTCATCACATGATGTTATCTTTAATCTCTGAGCACCTGTAGTATTAATTTGATTCTGTAGAAAAAGTAACATTTGAGAGTCCTTTCCCTAGAAGAACCCTTTTAGCAGGCATAAACAAAGAGAAGATTCACTAAAACTAAGGAGAACTACAGTAATACGCAGGGTCAAAGAGCATTCTTATCAAGTCAGGATTTTTGGCCTGGACACAAGAAAACTTAAGAGGATAACGACAGAACCAAAAATGGTACAATGTGGGGCACTATAGATCAACTGTTCAGTGCCTTTTCTAATATTAACAACTATGGGAAAACACATGAATATCAACAGAAGTTTCAAAACAAACAAGAGGAGGCAGCTCTTCACCTAACAAACAACAGGTCAGCAGAACCTCTAACTGAAGAGGCTCATAGATGGAAAAACTGTTTGTATGTGTTCACGAGGAGACTGGACAAACACTAATTAAAGAGATTCACCAAAAATAGCATACAGGAACACTGCATAAAGTTCAAGAGATCATCTGACCTCTAGAGTCAGAAGCTAAGAGAATGCTCAGGGGAAAATACCCTGATCTTTCTCTGCCCTGCATGCCCACTTAGACACACTGCAGGAGTCTCAATCCCTGACTGGAACCAGAGCAGCTGTTCTCATGTTCTTACTACAACACATTTTTCATTTAGTATTTTAACAGTCCTCAAGGAAAAGTTGGTGTTCAGAAAAGAAATCAAGGAAAATGGAAAGCTGTGTCAATGTTGTTGATATTTCAGGGCAGGAGACAAAAGGAATTTCACTGGTAAAGAAGAAAACCAGAACAATATACCAAAATCTTCATTACTGACTAATTAGCAAGGGAACAAAAAAATAAAAGCGCACAACTGCCTCTTTATTTTAAAACTCACTGCTTCCTTCTTTGTTTCACAAGTACAAAATCACAGAATCATAATAGACTGGAGGAGACCTCCAGAGGTCAAGTGCAACTTCCTGCTCAAAGCAGGTCCAGGCGTGGTTGCTCAGGATCTTGCCCACACAAATCTGAGCATCTCCAAGGACAAGCATTCCAAAACCCCTCTGGAGGATTTCACCACCCTCACAGAAAAAAAAAAAGCTTTTCCCCTACCTAAAAGTTTTCTCCTTGTTTTCAAGCTGTCTCTCTTGCCTTTCTTCCTTCCACTGTGCAACTCTTCTTGGTGTTCAACTTTGTCCTTTTCTACCTCCTCCCATTAAGATAACTAATCCCCCTTTACACTTCTCAAGGTTGAACTAACCAAGGGCTCCCAAGCCTGTCCTACTGTGTCACATGCTCCAGCTGCCTAAACATCTTGGTCTAAACATTCACCTAACTTGCATCAGTATATCAATGACTTTCATCCTGTGGAATCCAAAACTGGCCATGGTGCTCCAGATGCAGCCTCAGAAGAAAAGACTGGGGGGTGCAGGGCACAAAAATCACTTCCCTTGTCCTGCTGGCTACACTCTTGCTAATATAGCAACAGGTTGCCCACATAGGCTGTGGAATCCCCATCTTCGGCGATACTCAGAACTCAAATGGATGTGGTTCTGAACAACCTGCTCCAGGTGACCCTGCTTGAGCTGGGAGGTGGACAAGATGACCTTCAGAAGTCCCTTCCAACCTCAAAACATTGTGTGATACAACCCAGGATGTCACTGGCCATCTCTGCTGCAAAGGCACACTTCTAACCCCTGTTCAACATCTCCACCAGGACACCCAAGTCTTTTTCTCCAAAGCTGCTTTCTTGGCAGTTATCTTCCATTTCATATGAACTATTGGCTTCAACTTGTGCCCCCCACCGTATTTCAACAGTAGGCAAAAATGACTATAGACAAAACCTGCAGAGTAAAGCTAGCTTCAGCTTCAGGTCTCCTTCAAAGATGGGAACTAACTCAGAACAAATCTACAAGAGCAAGTATCATGCATTTTCCTTCCATGCACCACTTCTGGCAAATTCACATCTACAGCATCCTATGAAAACATATGCACGCTTGAGGACTGTAATTTTAAGTCAAAATTAAGCAAAAACACTATCAAAACAGTAAAGAAAATTATATGAATTACGAAGTAAAAATAAGCTAATCCAGAGGCAAAATTTCCAGAGAATAATGGCTCAGTGCCCTTTGAGGGAAAGCTTGATGCACAGTGGTCTAACTACACCTCTCCCTCAGATGACTTAATTTTTGCTAGATCCCACTGCATGTTTGACCTCTTCCAAGGCATAAGGTCTATGGTAAATGCAGAACTCTGAAAATTGTGCTCATTATATTTGACTGTAAACTCATCCCTTCATTACTTGTTTGTATACTCACTTAGAAACTAAATTCTGGAATTAAGGCCTATTTCATGATATGTATTTCATGACAGATAAAAGACATATTAGAAAACAATGTGATATGAAAAACTATTGTAAGTCACTAGTTCTATATACAGTTCAAACCTTCATTCTGTTCACCAGGACAGTGTTGAACTCCAATGGGCAACTACGAAAGTGGCTATCAAGACGCAAGACAAAACAGATGAACAGGTTATACTCCAGAATTAGAAAAATTGTTTCAATAGAAATCCAAAATCCTGGAAATAAAATTCACATCAAGGGTTTTTGAGGAATTTTTATTCTTGCTATTATAAGCAACTATCATTTTAGAAGAAATCTTGTCCTTCCTTTATATCTTTTACTGAGAGGCCCATGTAAGCTGAAGTCCAGAGCTCTTGTTGCATACATCCTACGAAGAATAAAGACCAAACTCCAAAATAAATGTCAGACAAATGCTGCAATTTCATGGCATTTTAGAATCCTCACTTCTGTTTGCAACTAAAACTAATGAAAGCCCCTGTTCTTGAACCTTCTGCCTGCAACAGTATTTCACTACAGCTGTAAGTGCTTTGAATCTAGGCATCTGTGCCTAGGCTTTTATTCCATGAAAGTTTCCAGAAAAGAAAATTCATGTACAGAAACACAGTCAACCTGTGTTCAAATAGAAAAGCAGAAGGAAGAGAGAAATTTGCTGTAACTAGAAAAGCAGATATATTCACTACATGGAATCCTATGATAAGAGATCCCTTAGTAAGGCAATCAAGAAAATAGCAGCTAAACCACTACAGATTCATTTGAAAGAATGATCCAGATGGATCCAGAGGCAACACAGACATCTAAGAAAAGAACCAGATGTCAGCAGAATCTGTAACAGCAAAGAACAAGGAAACTATTATTTACTCAGACCCTTGAAATACTGCACTGAAGTCATCTCTCCCCCAACAGTACCAACTGTAAACTCTTCCCTGCTCCAGCAGAAGAGATTAAGATTAGTAACACCACAAATGCATTTGCCCAAGTCCTAAGAGCAAAAGATGAAGTAACTGCTTTTGAGGCCCTTGAACACCAAGTGATTTTTGTTGACATTCCATCAGCTGAACTCTGCAAACAGCTAAATCAGTAAGTTGTCCAGTACTTTTCTTCGGCAACTCCAACTGGCAGTGCTCCCTCTTTTTGCCAGCTTTGTTCCTGCTCTCAAGACATTTCCCTTCATGCCTTTGAAAAAAGCACAGGTGAAAACACCTGCCACAAAAATCAAGTTACTTCTAAACTAACTGAATGTTTCAGCTGTTTCTGTTTTACCTTTTCTCGCTCTTCCTCTCAACCCCATCCAATTAATTAGTCCAGCAACAGCAGTGTATAGATGTGCTTATATCCATCGTAAGTCTGATACGTAGTCATATAACCTCCTTGCTTTCTCTTCCCAAGAATCTCCTGTGCTCCCACAAAAAACACACCTCACAAATTTAATCTATGTAATTTTCTTCAGAACTACAAAGCTATTTTAACATCTCTGCTGTACCCATCTCATTTCTCTTTTAAAATATCAACGAAACAACATCCTGAATACTTACTATGAATGATACTCAGATGTCTAAGGAAGCTGATTATGCAATTTTTATTGAAGAGCAGCAAATTCTACAGCTGAAGACAGACATTTGAAGAAGAAATGGCAAGATAAACAGTTCCAGAAAACGAGTAAATAAAGAGTAAAAGAAAAGGTAGAACAGGATAGTTTCTAGGAGGACTTGATTTGCATCAGAGATGCAAGAAACTGGAGTCACAAATACCAACAGGTCTTGAAAAAAGTCCCCGTATCACCAAGCAGGAAGAAAGGGGAAATTATTATTGCTTGGTTGATACAGATTTCTGTCTTTTAACCAGAGGGTTAAATGGGGTAAAAAGCATCTAGCTATCTCCATTTGTACAGGTGTACATACTTCAATTAGTATCCAGTATTATCAGTGATTACTTCATACCAAACTAAGTATTACCTTAAGTAAACAGAAGTGGTTTATATAAGGAAGAGACTCCACTATTAAACCAGTTTCAACTGCCTGAAACCACGACCTTCTCTTTCAGAAAGACCACAAATTGGAAAAAAAATAATTTGAAGAGTCAGTTTTTCTAGTATTTCAGTGTAAAGGGGCTGCTCAACTCTCACTTGGTTTTGCCAAGAGTACTTACTCTTGAAACAGACGCTTAGAAACCAGAGTGTATAAGCAGTAACAACCGCAAGAAGCACCAGATTTTGTAGGTAATTTTTCTATCAAAATAAAAAGGACAGGGAGGACAGCTCAGTCTTAATAGCAAAGAAGCACAGAAAAAGAACAGACACTGCATGGGACAAGAAAAGTTGAACACCCTAGATGCTTCCACTGAAGTACTAAATGACACCTGCACAGATGTAAAATAGATCAATTGAGTAGTTTTGTAAGAGAGTTTTACAATAGCAGTGGCTGGGCAAGGAAGAGAAATCAAAACAAGAAGACACAACCACCTAGGGTGGGTGCTTTCTATTGCTTATAAGTGAGTAGCTTCAAGGGACAGCACAGCCTGGTTAGTTTTGAAGGATGTTTAATAATATGTCTGCGTCTAATCAAAGTCAATCAAATGTCCTTTTATTCAGTACTGAAGAAAAACTTTCACTGGATGCAAAGACACTGCAAGCATCCTCCCCAGCTAGAAAAGTTTTCATTTAGCTTGCATTCCTCCAGTACTCACTTCAGTCCAGAGCTATTAAAAAGCCTATCGAGCAACAACTAAAACTCCTTCCCCCAATTTTTGACAGCAGATGAAGACCATCACTTTTAAGAAGCACCCAAAGCAAGCAAATCCCAGGAAGAAATTTAGTTACAGAGACAAAGCAAAAAAGAAAAGAAATGTTGAAAACTATCAAAGCATTAAATGTTTTCACGGTAGAACCAAGAGTACTGTGGACTGCTCAGGCCAGTAAGCAAAGTATTTTTAAAAGTAGAAACAGACTCAGCTTTAGCTTAGTTGAACAGCTGAAAATGAAAAGGTATGGTTGGTTGCACAAACTAAGTCACAGAATATTCCACTTGTTCCTTAGAACAAGATTGCCAAGCCTGTACCCAAATCCAGCAAACCAGGACACAAACAACTGCCTTGAGAAGGAAGTTGACTGTGTAGAGACAGAAAACATGCAATAGTATCAGAAACACTAAAACAACTTGTGTATGTGTTGGTGGTTAATATGCCTTTATGGAAGGCATACTTCAGCTAAATTCCAAATTGTTGCATGGATACTAATTTTCAAATGAATCACTAAAGTAATTTTTAAATGGTTACATTTTCATTCTAATTATACAACATACCTACTCAAAGAAATATTTCAGCATTTGCAGTTTTAGTCACCTCATCATATACAATCTTTCTCTTCTGTTTTTTGTTGTTTTATTAGTTATGTTTAGTGTAACTCTAAGTCGCTCTTGCCCCTCTACATGTGGAGAGTTTGAATACCAGTGCAACAGTTAAGGAGTTTACTAACTAGCAGCAGTTGTGACCCCTGGGTTTAGAAAAATAAAACCACTTTAGATAAGAGTATTGTTTTGACATTTTATCTAAATTGTCATAGTTATTTCACTTTTGGAGGAATGATTTTACCATTGTTTTCCCTTTTTTAAAAAAGCTTGACTTACAGTTAGCTGTCTTCACGAATGGCTTTTGTGTCATCAAGAAATTAACATGCTCTTGCATGTAAGTAAAATGAGGATTAGTTAGGTTATGCCTATTTATTAATTTTTTAATTCTTACAGAAATTAATTATGTATACTCCATAACTTTTTTTTTTGGATAAAGAAACCTAAGCTCTGTAATTTGAGTTTTAGAAAAGAAAGAACAGTTATCACCTCTCGGAAAAGCAAAACACAGATTAAAGATTGTGTGTGTGTCAGTTTTAAAGCAGGTTCTGAAACTGGTACAGAGAAAACTAAGTGCATCCATCACCTTGAAAGGTGACTTAAGACACCTCAGAAAACACCTACACTCCATCCCAGGAATAACACTGTTTCTTACTCCCACCAACAGCCTAATGCAGAGGAAAGAAACCCTTTGTAGCAGATGGATTACTTACAGTAATCCAATTACTTGCCATTCTGAGAGCCACTGTAATTTTTATTACCCACAATTTTAATTTTTTCATTCCAAGAAGAAAAAAAAGGTCCATGATAAGTTACTGAAAATTAATTGTTCAAATCAATGTAATATTTATTTTAAAAATAGGGATTAAGTATATAGGTAGGTACAAGTAATAAGAATCAGTTTTCATTTATTACTACTACAAATGTATAGCAATATTGGTAAATGCATGACATTTACAATATCAACTGCTTAATACAAAGCTCATACCAGTAAGACCTATTTTTCACAACTGTTGTAAGAAAACATTTGCTAAAACTCTTATGTGACACATAATAATCAGTTATACAAAACAATGATGCAATCAAATGATGACATCAGCTCTTCCTATGTTATTGATTTGAGTTTATTTCAGCATGTAATAATGACTGTCCCAAACCCTCTCCTTCTTCTCCTTTAAAAGTAAGATCTAATAATTTCCTAGAAAACATTGTTACAACTGAACAAAACCACCTATGACTTACCAATTGTGGCCCAATGTCTAAATTTCTTTTTAAAAAACAGAATTCCTTTAAAACATTCAGTTCAAAGAATCTAAACGCAAATAAAAGTTCAAACCTAACTAAATCCTGCTAGACAACTAAATATTCTCCAATAATTGTGTCCTGAGCAACTTGAACACCTACAACATACACTAATTGTACAGTGTGCATTTTCTCTTAGTATCAGAAAGACCCCAAACCCCTCACAATCCAGGAATATTTGAAACCAGTTAAGAATTACACTTAATCACCATTCCAAGTCAGAGGCTCATGTGCACTCAAAATAAGCTTCTCACAGCCTATTACAATTGCCCCGTACCAAATATTTCAACAAAGCAATTAAGAACTTGCTTGCATAAAATCTGCTGTCAGAACTGAATGCAATGTGTTTCAATTTCAAAGGTTCTCTTAGGGATCCTCACAGTAATGCACAACACTCAACACCGCTCGTGAAGATTCTTGGTACTGCAAACTGCTCCTCCTCCCCAGATAAAACCAGAACATACAACTTGCTACCCATGCTCATTCTCAAATACATGTCTAAACACAAAATATAACAGTATCTAAACAAATAGAGTACAGTCTGTAATGAGAGTTAAGTACAAATTCATCATTCAACCTCTCAAATTTCCATGTTCTTTTCATAATTCCATGTGCAGTGTATGTTATACTGGTTGTGTGGGAATGTCTCATGTTCAAAGTTAATGTCATGCCTTTTTGTTTCTTCAAGTGACAGTATTCAACGTTTCTTCAAGTCTTTCCGTGGCTTCTGGACATGCCTATGCTTTTAGTATCTTGGAAACCTATCCTGTCCCTTTCGGTACAGCTGTGACAAAAGAATAATGCTCATGTTACGTTTCTAGTTACTCTGGTTGCATATGCACCTTTCCAGATTTCTCTTTGCACATAGCACATACACAAGAACAGCCATCCCCAAAAGCATCAGAACTGATTGTCCAATGAGAAAATACAACATGTGATGCAACGTTAAAGAACTTTAAAACATTCAGCACTGCAATACCTCTTCTTTTGGACCACTGGTTTCTTAAAAATGGAAAAAGCTGAACAAAGAACCCCACCAAAATGCAGCACTGGAGCCACTCATAGATGCAAGTGTGATCTTCAAAATCAGAGAAGTTTCTTGCCAGGAAAACAGTACTGTCATACTTCAGAATACTACCCTTATAAACTCAGAGCAGAATGTGCCAAGCAAAAAAAACAAAAACAAACAAACAAAAAACAAAAAACAAACAAAAAAAAAACAACCAAAAAACAAAAAAAAAAAAACAAAAACAAAAAAACCAAAAAACAAAACAAACAAAAAAAAAAAAAAACCAAAAAAAAACCCAACAAACAAAAAAACCCCCCCAAAAAAACCCAAACAAAAATAAACCAAAAAAAACCAAAAAACCAAACAAACCAACCAACAAAAAACCCCAAACAATTCCCTCCCCCCCAAAAAAACCCCCACAAAAACAAGAAATCCCCGAATTGCATACCCTCCCCTGAAATATTTAATATTTCAGAGCTATCCTATTATACTATAAATACTACAATTAACATTTAAACCTTCCAACCAGCATTAGCAACAGTTCAGGCTAAGATGGCTCTGTAACATGTAAAAAACATCAGCATGAGATTTCCTGATTTGAAGTTATTTTTAGCCACAACAATCATTACTATCTTAACAGTCTTAAGAATAGCTAAAAATAGAACCAAGTAAAAAAAAAAAAGCACAAAATTTAACACATAAAAGGATGAAAGCAAAAGTATTTTTTTAAATCCTATGCTGTGTGGTGATTAGACAATGTAGAGGTACACAGCCAACATGGAACCAGTCAGAGCATTCTCACAGCAATGTCCAACATGTCTGCTCTGCACACTGTTGAATGTTTCCACTGCATTAAGTGAGCTTTTGCATCTATAAAAGAACATCACTTCAGGACTGGTAAGCCTGTGTGCTGCGCTTGCTATTAACATACTCGAGATACACCCACAAGAAATAGAAATTATTAGCAGAAAGCTTAATTTCAGTTATATTTTTAGTAACAACAAATAGGTATTGCTATTACGGCAACAGCAAAAAAAGCCAGCAGTAAGAGCTCCATTGCAGCAAGTTTGCCCTCACTGGCATTTATTTCATTTTCTGAAGTCTTCGTTACTTATATCTTCTCATGAGAAGTAAAACCATGTTATTAATAACAGGATAAATGTAAGAAATATTAATGTCTATTTAATTTCAATTTATAGGCAAAGAAGTAATTACCTGCTTGTATTCACCAACGCAGTTCTGACAGCAGAATCTTTTCTGCTGACCATCAATAATAAGAATATTGCTTCCACCTCCTTTACTGGGTAAATACTCCCCACAATGCTCACAGCAATTCATTATTAAACCATTTGCCATCCTGTATCTATTGAAGCAATGGTCACTGCACAGCTTATGAGTTATATTTTTAAAGCTAACTTCATGACGAATCTAAAAAATAAAAATGAAAAGTATTCTATCACTACACAAGCACAGAGTTCCCTGAAACTACTAGACCAGCCGAAAGTCTTACAATTCAAGTACAATAACTAAAACCAGATTATACTACCTCACTACTTAAGAACAGAGATGTTTGAGGAATGGATATTTCTGTTGTCTCCAAAGCTCTAGGGAAAAAAGAAATAATCTTAGCCCCATCTGCTCTTTAACCTAGAAGGGAAGACTACAGGGAAGGATGTAGTAACTGCATATTAGAGCAGAGGACCAATTTATGTAATTTTATAAAACGGTCAATTTACAAGCTAACAACACAGCATATGAAGACTGGCCAGACACATATGCTGTGTAAAGTAGTAGCCTGAACTATGTTGGAGTCAGTAGTGGCATCAAGAACAAATAAATACATTTATGAGAATTTTAAATTACATATATTCTACAGATCCCTAAAACCATCTGCATTGTCTTTCAAAACATACAGGAAAAAAGTAGGTAATATAGTAAGTCTTGACTTTTTTTTCAACAGCAGCTCTTCTGTGTGGGAGATATGGGTTATAACTACAAGATTCTATGCCTAATAGAATATGTTATCAGCAAAAGGCACTTCAACTTTCTGAAACAAAAATCAAACATTAACCTCTGAATTCCTTCTTCCTTCAGTTGCTCTGCATGACTATTAAGCCTATTAAAATCTCATGAAAATACTGAAGAATTTAAATTTCATTATTTTCTGTTCTGTTATTTCTGAATACAAGTTATTAATATCTCATTATGTCATTATTGAGCAAAGATAAGAGAAAAAAACCAATCAACCAGACCTCGGTTAGTTTACCACAGACAGTGCATCTTGATTTATTCAAAGTTCCTTTTGAGGGATTTTGTTTATCTTCATAGAAGGATAAACATGATGTACTGCAAAACTCCTGGAAAGACTCACTTGAATCTACTTGAGCAACAATGGTACCTTTCATTGTTGTTATATCTCTGAAAGACAAAGAGAAAAAAAATCTTGTGTGCTTCTGTATGAATATATATATTTAAACAAGAACACTTTATACACATTGTTAGTCACAGGTTGAACACTAAGTTTAATAAAATTTTTTATAACTACTATAAGTGCAATGTATTTCCTGTGTAAAACCCTATTGTTTTTACAACTACTATAAGTACAATGTATTTCCTGTGTAAAACCCTATTCTCTTTGTTTGGATTTATTTTTCCCATTAAATTATTCTAGAACTAAGTGATGTTAACACACCATCAGGTGCTGTTATGTCAAACTCAAGTCTCTATAAAAAGCAGCAAATTTGAACTAGCCATTTTGTAACTTTACACAAAAGCTACATTGAAGCTCCATATTAAAAAAACCAGGGTTATAGTAAAATGCATATAGTAAAAGGAGGCATCTGCCAAATACTGACCAACATCCCAGCCAGCTGCCTAGACCACGAGACACCACTGTCCACCAGTGTCACCACTGACATCACTTCCAGCTGCCAAGACCAGGAGGCTGGGAATTGCTCAACTCCAGGGAAACTGACCAATCAGTTCCTGACAGAGCTGTATGGAAAGGACCAGTGTCCAGAGCATGGTGCGCACTAACCATCTAAGAAAAGACAACTATGGATCCTCAGAATGCTGCTGCACCCACGGTGATGACTGTCCCCCTTTCTACATGACAGCGGATCATCGGAATGCTGCTTGGACCTACAGTGGTGACTATCTCTGCTGTGCCATCCCAAATCTTGCTTGCTTCCCCCCTTTTCTGTTTCTAATTTTCCTATCGCCCTTTCTCTTTACCCCTTGAGTAACCAACAATAAAGTCGCACTCCCTAACGAGGTATTTTGACCTCGTTTGTGCCCCAATTAACATTGGGGGAGTCAATCGAACACTCCTGAGTCTTACTGGAAGTCAATCGAACACTCCTGGTCTTACTGGAATAGACAATGCAAGAAATAGTCTTTACTTTTATATAACTCCACCATTATCCATCTCAGGAGAGAATGAGACAAAGAGAGAAGGTTGTTTTTTTATAAATTAATATTTCTCAAACTTATAAATACAACCAAAAAGCTTAAAACTCTACCACAAACCTGCCTTCTAGAAACTTTGTCATTTAAACTTTTAAAGGTTAATTCCATCATCACCTTCAACTTCCAAAACAATTCCAAGCAATTCATGCAGTTGCCTAAGAAACTGCACTAATTTAATGCATTAAACCAAGAAAGCAACCATCAATAAAATTAATTTGAAATCCAACATGTCTTCTGTGCTGGTTTGGGTTGGAGTTAACTTTCTTCACAGTAGCTAGTATGGGGCTATGTTTTGGATTTGTGCTGAACATGGGGCTGATAATATAGAGATGTTTTCATTACTGCTGAGCAGAGCTTACACAGAGCCAAGGTCTTTGCTGTTTTCTGCACTGCCACCCTGGCCAGGAAGTTGGGGGTGCGTGGGAGACTGGGAGACACAGCTGGGACAAGGGACCCAAACTGACCTAAGGGATATTCCATACTATATGACATCATGCTCAGTGTATAAAGTGGGAGGAAGAAGGAGGAAAAGGGGGACGTTTGGGGTGATGGTGTTTGTCTTCCCAAGTAACTACAGTGTGTGCTGGGGCCCTGCTGTCCTGGACATGCCTGAACACCTCTTGCCCATGTGAAGCAGTGAATTAATTACTTCTTTTGCTTTACTTGTGTGCATGGCTTTTGCTTCCCATATTAAACTGTTTTTATCTCAGTGCATGAGTTTTCTAGCTTTTATCCTTCTGATTCTCTTCCCCATTCCACTGGTGGGGGAGTGAGTGGCTGCATGGGGCTTAGCTGCTGACTGAGGTTAAACCACAAGACCTTCTTCTAAGCAAACTGACTTACATTGTCCAAAACTACTACATACCATGTGTTAGAAGCAGTAAGGAAAACAAATACAAGACTCCCTCTTTACCTTCTAAGCAAAAATACCTTATTATTGACATACAGAAAATGCTATTGGGCAGAGTATATATTTAAAAAAATTGACTGGGCATGTCTTGATCACCACTTGGAAAATACATGTCCCAGACACTCAAACCTATGACCCCTAAAACTAGGATGAGTGAGAAACACTGGAAAAAATGTATACTTCCCTAGATAGACCCCCCTGAAAATAAACTTGTACTGCTCATCAATATTAACACTTGCAAGTCTGCCTTCCATTAAGGGAAAGTCAATGGATTTTGGCTTACCCCTTAGAAAGCTAGTAAGATCTGTGTTAGGGAATGCTGTAATTTCTGTTCTGCAAAACAGAGCACCTGCCCTGAGGAGTTTACAGTTTCTGGCAGGATTCCAGCAGGAGTTACACACACTACTAACTTGTATCAAAGCACATATTAACATCTATCAAAGGAGGCCAAAGAGCAACACAAGACAATAAAAACTATAAACACTGAGGAGAATGCCACTTTCCTTCTTATAACAATTGCTATGCTGTTTATGCAATTACAAAGGCTGAGAAGAGTGCTGGAAAAGTGGTTTACCGTAAAACACCTAGAGACTTTGACTTTTCAGATGGCATTACACAGTTCTTTAGAAAAGATTAGGTGGAGAAAGTGAGGCCTACAATAAAGTAATCTAGGTATTTAAGGATTCATCTGAGCACAACCCCCCAAAAGTCTGACCTGTGACATAACTATAATCATCTATGCACTCTACATTCAAGATCTCCTGTATTTTCCTCAAGTTCTCCTAGCCTTTCACTGAACTGCAATCTGACATTACATCTACTTTAGGAGGAAAATAACAGAGGCAGAATACCTGGATGCTACCCACCAGGTAGCAAAAATTTGGCAATAAAGCAAAAAAGGGTGGAACACATTGGGTTTTACAATGAAGTCATGCTACAGAGGAGCAATTTAATACACACACTACCTTTTATTTAACTGTGATTGAGTAAAAACTGCATAGTAGTGGAAGAGCAAAGACCAAAATCACCTCAAAAATTGTCAAAGGTGATTTCATAGAGGGTCTTTAGACATTAAAGACACTAAAACTATTTTAAGTGACCTCAAAAACAAGAAATTCGGTATTTTTTCTTATCATTCAAAAATAAAGCCTTTTCATTCAGGGCAGTTTTGCATGTATCCTCTTACAAGACACAGTAAGTATTTTCAAAGTGGCAGAGGAGCATGGATTTAGCCATAATTTCAGTCATAAATAAAAATATTTGTCTAATCTTCACCTTTATATATCACACAGCTGAATATGGTAGTCATCGGCCTACTTTTGAAAAAAATAAGTGTACAAACACAGAACAAGCCAACAGAAAGAGTACATATTATTTTTAACTAGCCCTGTAAATGGTTCAAAGAATTTGAGCTTTTACCTGTATTTAAAGAAAGCTAAAATATGATGTTCAATCTTCTAGGCTTTCAGTGTACGAAGGTATGAATACAGAGGATATGAATATTTTCTATATTATATTTTTGTGTGTCAAGAAGAAAAAAACCCCCCACAAAAAACACTCCAAAAATGCCCAGTAGCTTCCATCTGAATACAAGTCATCCACCACACTGCACACTGAAGTAAAACTTTTCCACTAGTTTAAATCTTGAGCAAAGACCACCCTCTCCAAAGCATACATTAACAAGGGCAGTTCTCAATTCTCATATGGAGACTTTAATGGAAGAATATGAAAAAGTGCAAGTAGCTCAGTAATCAGTACACTGAAAGAAAAAGATAGTACAGCTATTTTGTATCCTCAACACTGCAAGAGTACAACTACAGAGGACTTCTCTTTGGCAATTTCAAGTTTGGCAAATAATAAGATATTACTAGTCAAACTAACCAGTAGATTAGAATGAGCCACTTCTAGGCATGCTTGTCACTCCCTCTCTACTGCCCACTTAAGGTATCTTCAGCTACAAAACTGCCAGAGTTGACCTGCTTATGGGAAAAGTCTCAGCCTTTTCCTCTCCCCATACTGCCAAGAATGGAAGAGCTCCCAAGTCTCCTCCAGCTTCCTGCAAGTATCAGTTTCTCCTCCTTTTAAAGCCTAATAATTTTCTACCTTCATCTATCAAATATACAATGCAAGGTCCACTTTTTCAACAAAGGACTTCATATATGAAGTACATCCCACCACTTGGACACCTTGTCTTCAAAAAACCCAACCAGTTATTTTTAGTGTACTGGCTTTCAATGAAACAATCTCCCATACACTGAATTGAAAAGCTGGTACATTTTGTTTTGCTATAGCAGAGGCAGTGAGTTCAACATTTCCAAATGACATTAAAGTGACCCTTATAAAGAACTTACATAGTCAGATTTTATATCATTAATGCAGCAACTCTCATACATGCATGAGAATCTCAAGTACTACTGGATTTAACTGCTAATGTAAAAATAAATAACTCCCTTACTTTCTGCACATAACACAAAGTTTCTTTGGAGTGGGTTTGTGTGAAAATGATGAGAGGCAGGTAGTAGAACAAAAGAGATGAGCTGATCCTTTTCGCTGATATGCAGTCTGTCCCTTTTGTAAAGGCTTTTTGCAGTTTGCACATGTGACTTTAACCTGTTTAGAAGGCTGTTGCTGGGCAGAAGGCTGGAAAATTTGCTTAGGAAGTGATGCTACAGGTGACAAGGAATCCACACCTGGTTGCTTCTGATTCCTAGGGAAGGAAGCTGACTGGGATATCCAAGAATCTTCAAGACAAAAAACCCAAACAAACACAAAAGTAAGTCAACAGACATGTAAATATATATAATAAAGTTCACAGATGTACGATCATCATTTTTATGCTGGAACTGAAAACAGAAGAAGGATCATATTTTTAAATTCAGGTTTAAAGTAAAAATCACTCTCCATTGTTACAAAGCTTCAGAACATGAACAAATTTCAAGATGGTCCTATCCTACATCTCGTGACAAGTTCTGCAGATTTCAATTCACTTGCACTGAGTCTGCAAACGGGCAACTTCATCTTCAAACAAAACTATGACTACCAACTGCAATTAAAAAGTAAGAACAAGATACCAACAGTGAACATGGAATTTCTGAACAAATGTTTGAGACAAACACTTCAAATTTATACGAACACGAAATCTTATATTTTCAGTAGTTAGTTTGTTCTGAGACTTTAACAAGCATCATGTGTCCAGCCTCAGTGACAAACCCTAGAATTAGGTTCCCCATACCAGTTTCCCAGTTCAGGCTGCAGTCAAAGAACTATATTGCAGTTAGAGGGAAGCACAGGCTCCACATCCAAGATCTGGACCTACGTCACCGATTCCTGTAAAAGTTTCTGGTTTTCTCTATAACCTTCTCAATGGAATTAATACCACTTAATGTGCAAACTTGCGAAGTCATGAGAGTTCCACACCTTCTTCAGTAGAAATCAATGAACCTAGAAAATAATATTTTATTAAGTTCTGGCAGTATGCAAACCCATGTCCCTGTGTTCCAGACTCCATTAGCCTTCCATCCGTACAACAGACTATCACGGAACAAAGTCATCTTTGCCTAGTATTTTGTAGCCTAAAAGAGTAACTTGTGTAACAAGCACGTAAACAAAACATTTTCTCCAAAAGAAACACATCTAGAAGGAGCACATACTTCTGCTAAACTACATGCTCCATATCTTGGTTTGGAGCAGAATATACAGTTCAGAAGGGGAGAGGGGGGAAATCCCCCCAAAATGTCATTTCTAGGCTTTTCTCTGGAATGTAACCTTTCATTTTAAATAATTATCAGCAAATTTAGGAACATGGAGCTTCTGAAGACTGCTAATAATACTTTACTTAAACATTAACAAAAACTGAATAGAAACACCCTGTCATTACAAAAACACTTGCACACATTTTCAATAGTATGTCAGTTATACCAAATACTGTCACAGCACTTGGGACTTGCCTAGCCTTGAATATCTTACTGCAGTAATCCAGTGTATCCCTGGAGTGTTACTGCAACTAGTATTAATAGCCAAATATAAAAAATTATTATGAATTCTAATATAAAAACCTTAACTTGCAGACATCAGCAACTGCCCATACCTTATTTTTAAGGGATATTATCTTGGTGCATAATCATTCATTAAATAGGAGGCACCCTGTCCTCATACTACTTTCTGAAGTCCTCTTTCCGCAGGAGAGTTTTATTAACAACACACTGTGCTGCATAGTTTTAAAATTTATTTTAGGGACAAAGTTCCAAGAACCCTTGTTAGTGCAACAAACAACATACATTCCTTAGCAAGTAAAATATAATTTTCTGGTGTGACTTCATAGCTGTCAAGGATGTCCTGTTTCTCAGGCACCTAAGACAATTTAGAAATTTACCCACTGTATTGCCTGAGGGTAAACAGAAGAGCTGGAATAAAGAGGTGAGGAGAAGACACAGAACAAAAGACATTTCTCTACAAACCATTTAAGAGGTCTACCTCTGAAGGCATGAATTACAGACAAACTAGACAAGCTACCACAGTGCTTAGAGTTAAAATTCACTTCAGTGCCCTCTTCAAACCTTTCTATATGTCTACCACCTGATATATTAGTATCTTGGTAGCAGCTTAACACCTCAAAATATTCTGAGATTCTCATCTTTTTTCATAGGTTTCAAGTGAAAGCACATTGTCTCCCTTATCAGGAATTCATAGGTGATGTGCAGCAGTTACATCTGCTTGTAATTCCAGTACTGCTCAACTACCATTCATGAAAACCTGCATTTGCTAGGCTCATTTGCATTTGAAACTTTTACCATGACTTCCTAGCACCTCATTAAGACTATTTCAATTATTCCTTAGTATCTCAAGGTTTCAGATAACCTCCACTAATTGACATTTTGTTGCATTTCTCTGCTCCCACAAAGTTAGCACAAGAACATCTAAAGATCTTGGTGGTTGTTTTTTTTTTGCTTTTAGTTTTTCCATAACCCACCTTCAAAGACATCCATTTTTACATTACACCTTTTCTTCACATCTCACTTCTCAACCATGTTGTGTGCTCAGCTTCATATTCTCTGCAAAGGATCTGTAAAATCTAGTTTTCATGTCTGTCATAGGTTGTAATGAAGGGGGTAACCCGTGGTATGTATTCTATTCAGTTTCTGCTCTGGTGAAACCCCTCCTGGAATACTGCATCCAGCTCTGGGGTTCACAGTACAAGACAAAAATGGGCCTGTTAAAGCAGGTACAGAGAGGAGGGACACAAAAAGTGACAGAAAGCTGTGAAGAAAGGCAAAGAGTTACAGTTGTTCAGTCTGGAGAAGAGAAGGCTGGGGAGACCTTACTGCAGCCTTTCAATATCTACAGGAGGTTTATAAAAAACAGATGGGAGTGAGACTTTTTACCAAGACCTATAGCAACAGGGTGGATGGAACCTTTAAGAACTGTTTGTTTTGACATTGCCTAGCCTTGATGGCTTGTTGTGGGGCAAAGGTCCATTACCCACCACCCAAATCTCGCAGCTAATAGATACCATTGCCCACCAACTACACCCTCTGGCTGCTGAGCCATCTGCCAGATAATGACTGACATCACTTCCAGCTGAGATCAGGAGGCTGGGAACTGCTGAACTCCAAGGAAACTAACCAATGAGTGCTCTGACAGAGCCCTAGAAAAAGGACCAGCATCCAGAGCATGGCAGATACCTACTACCAAAGAAAGTGACTGGATAACTAGAATGCTGCTGGACCCATGGTGATGACTACCCCCCTTTCTACATGACTATGAATCATCTGAACACTGCTGGACCTATAGTGGTGACTACCTCCTCTTCTACATGACTTTGGATCATCTGGATCTGTGGGGGTGACTATCTCTGCTCTGGTATACCAAATCTTGCTTACTCCTAACTATCCACCCCTCCTGTTTCTAGCTTTCCTATTGCCACTTCTCTCCCCTTGTGTGACCAATAATAAAGTTTCACTCCCTAATGGTGTTTTGACCTTGTTCGTGTCTTAATTCATATTGGGGGAATCGATCAAATGCTCCAGAGTCTAATCTGACCTGGACACAGGGCAAGAGGTAATGCCTTTAAATTGAAAGCTGGTAGGTTCACATTGGACACGAGGAATAGATTTCTTACAAAGAGGTTGGCAAGACACTGGAATGGGTTTCTCAAGCGAAGCTGTGGATGCCCCATCCCTGAAAATGTTCAAGGTCAGGATGGACGGGGCTTTGAGCGACCTCATACAGTGCAAGATGTCCCTGCCCATGGCAGGGTGGTTGGATTAGGTGATCTTTAAATGTCCCTTCCAACATAAAACAATCTATCAAATGTACCCCAAGGCTTACTGGGGACATTAGGTTCTAAATTAACGTGTTGGACAAAACTTCCTGTTACGCACCTACTGCTTCATATAAGAAGGCACTTAGCCGGGGGAACAGATTAACACTCATCCAGAAGACATCTTCCAAACCACGTATACGCTCATGGAATCATATAGATTGGAAAAGACATTTAAGATGATCAAGTCCAACCGTTAACCCAGGACTGCCAAATCCACCACTAAACTATGTGCAAAGCATCACATCTACATCTCTTTAAATACCTCCAGGGATAGTGACTCAACCACTTCCCTCAGCAGCCTGTTCTAATACTTGATAACCCTTTCACTGAAGACATTTCTACTGATGTATTATGCCACTGAGCATATTTTACTCTAGAGTCACACATAAGGTGGTGATGGGGATGAAGGGAACCAAGATCTTTCATATATATATTAAGCTAAAAGTGCCACTGCCTAAAATACGTGAATCAAACACTCTATAACCATATACTTTGTATTTCCAGCTTTAAAGGAAACATTTAAAATTGCAACTTACCAGGATTATGATGAGTCACAGATTCTCCATTTTGAAAGACATCTCCAGCCACACTCATTCTACCAGGATTGAAAGGTCCTACACCAGTCTTGGTCTGTGAAGTCAAAGATGGGGTGTATGTTTGCATATTAACACCAAAATTACTTGACTGCAGTCCGTTAGATACATCTCCCAAGCTGGCATTCTGCAGTGACGTTACATGTGTAATCATTAAGTTCATGTCACGCCCTTCAGCATTTTCTAAATGACCATCACTCACTGAGGTCACAGTACCTGTTTCTAATGTAGTAACATTAGCAATCTGAATTTCAGAGTCTGGTTCTGTGGTTATACCACTATTATCTATTCCTGAATTTACCTTACTTCTTGAAAAACTGGAAGGTGAGAATTCCATTTCGTTGGTTCTATTTTTACACTCTGGAACTCTTCGTTCATTAAAACTGGAAACATCCTTCTCTTGTCCTTGACTTGTTTCAATGTCTTCTTCATCATCAATAATAATAGTTTCACTTATACTCCCCTTTTGAGAATTTAAGTCTTTTGGAGAAGGAAGCATTTTGCAATCATTCCCTTGAAGTACTTCATTTTTTGATGATGTAAATGCAGTGTTCCTTTGATCTGCTACCAGTGGTGTAGAGTTTTGTGGAGATTGTACAGGTTCAATAAAAACTACATCATCATCATCTTCTATAGGTGAGTTTTGGAATTCATTTGGTCTAGAAACTAAAGAACTTGGTGCCCCTCCAAATGTATTTCCTACATTTGCAAGACCTGCTGCCATGGTGGTATTCCCTAGCAGATCAGGAGTGTGTTCAGACAGTTCTAATCCTCCCAGAGGACTTGTGTCCATTCCAGATCTGCTGTTAGAAGAAAAACAAAGCAAGAAAAAAACACATCCAACTTCAGAGTAAGATACAACCTTCCAATAACAGTTCTTAAAAATAGCTACACAATTAATACTTCCAGCTTTTACTTTGTTTTCTTCCTCAAATAACATAAAGTAAACCCAATGTTCTTCCATGACCACCTTCTAGCAAAAAAAAAAATAAAAAAATAAAAAATACTGCCATAACCAACATTTCACACAGAACAGCTATACACCATAATGTTTAGGAATACATAGATACACAGGAAATAGAATTTTTATGGCATTTATACAACCCTGATTTCTCAGTCCCTTTCCCACATATGTACACAATGTTACTTTAACACTGCTTTTGCTAGACTGCAAAACAAGATCCAAAGCTAGACACACAGGAAGAAAATCAGAATTCGACTAAATTTCATTCCCAATAGAAATGTTAAGAGTTTCAATATAAATACACCTAGATGGCAAATGAATGAAGCTCATTGCAAGTGCTCAAAAAAAAAAAAAAAAAGAGGCAACATCTTTTTGTATATTAACAACTTGGAAATTCAACCAATTTTACCCCAAACCCCATACTGGCAAGGCTCCTCAGGTAGCCCCAGCATGACTGGAACAAAAAACTAAGGAAGAAATATACCAAACTGTTGCACGTGCTAAGATTGGATACATTATAGCACAGCAGAAAGTGGACAGCAACCTCTCATTTGCAGTCACTACCACTGGCAGCTCATTTGAGGTTCTGATTTACTACCTCATGTCCTAGTGCAACTTTCAGTTACTTTCTCTGTTTCCTTTCTAACAGCAAGCAGTGCTTATTCAGGCTCCTTCCCAACAGCTACTTTGCCTGGGGGATTCAGTTTGCTTTTCGTAATTGTTCAGTCTGGGGAGATCTGTTCTTTATAATTGCCAATTCTACCATGAATTAAAAAAAATTATAAAAGTCAACCTGGATATAATCAAAGGAAAAGGACCTAAAATCGCTCTAAAAAACACCTGTACTAAAAATCACTAAGTTAAATTGATCTCCATATACACAACAAGAAAAATACAGACCTAATTATGTTATAACTCGGGTATGTCTTGGAGTATACACTGATGTGTGACATGGCTGAGCTTTTGTGCAAGGCTAGAAGTAGCTTTCTGTGCTTTTTTTAATAAAATCTTTATATAGGAAGGTAGATAGAAGTAGAAATATCCTGCTCATCAATACTTACCCATCCAGAAATCCACTGCAATCTGTTTACCTTATTAAGCTGCTCCAAGAGCTCTTATTTTCTTTCCTG